AAATTTTTTCAAAACAACATAATAAAGATTAAATTAAGTTTTCTTTTATTCAACTTACCTTCTGCTTCTTCTTCTGGGGTGCAGGACATTCTGAATCCAAATCTCCATCTATAACACTCTCCGGTGTATAGATCACATCGACATCCTTCCTCCTCATTTCCTTACTCTTTTCTTCTTCCTTACTCTTTTCTTCTTCCTCCCTCTTTTCTTCTTCCTCCCTCTTTTCTTCTTCATATTTTTTCAGTTCATCATATTTTTTGCTCTACATAGCTCTTCATCTCTTTTATTTCACCCTTCAATTTTCCCCTTGCATCCAAGTATTCATCAACCACCCCCTTCACCCCCGTAAGTTCACTCCTTAATTCCCCAACCTCCTTCATCACTTCATCAATTTTTTCACCCCTCACCATCTTAAGTTCACCCCTCAACACCTCAACTTCTTTCACCACTTCACCCCTCAACACCTCAACTTCTTTCACCACTCCATCTATTTTTCCTTCCACTTCCCCCTTATGCCTCTCAAGTGTCTCTTCGACTCTCTCAAGTTTCTCTTCGACTCTTGATTGTCTTTGCATGATATCAAATTAGATTTTTTTGACATCAGCCAATTCAGACATCAAAATGTAGAATTTACTATGTTTTCCCTCACCGTCATCCCCCTCACAGTCATCCCCCAATACAACCATCTCTTCTTTCTTCTCCTCTGCCTCCACTACATCCTTGCTAATAACCTTCAAAATTAAATTACAATATTAAGACATTGATTATATTCTTAATATTATTTAATTATATTTATTACCCTTTCTTTCTTCCTCGATCTATCCAACTTCAACTTCGTCATCACTCTAACCATCTCTTCCTTCCCCCATGCACGGATGCGTGCCACTTCGGTTCTTTCATAAGCCGGCACTGCCTCACAGCCTGACCAAAAATCGAATAGTGCAACCTGCATTTATAATAAAATTTATAATTTTATATAATAAATATAATATCATTTTATATAAAAAAAACATTCTTCAACTCATTTACCTCTAAGATTGCTATGCACCCTTTGAGGTATCTCTGGTTACCTTTTTTAAAGGTGATTATTGATTCAATCAATCTCGAATGGACATATTCAACCCAATTGAATTCACCCTTCAAGCCTTCATCGCAAATGAGCTTCATATAGTCCTTGTTCGTTGACGTATCACCCGTTGGACAAAGAAAGATCCCGACAAGGTACAATAGAACTCGAGCCTTTAGCTCATCCCCCCATAAGATCCACTTTTGATTTCCTCTTCAAGTTCAGAATATGTCACCTTCTACTTCAAACCATATTTGGAGGCAAATGCTTTCCAATTCTTACTCTTAGAGACTTCTACAACACTGTTGCCTTCATTTCCTACCCTCAAGACTGGTGCAGCACATGGGATCCCGAGAGGAAATGAAAAATCACCATATTTAGCAATACATTGTTTGACATCAAATTATGCTATCAAGGATCAACACAATTCCCTCCGAATAGGTCGATCCCTTACTCCTACCAACGATTCAAACCCCATTGCTCCTAGCACATTCAACTGACCCTTCTCATTATGGTGTATAATTAATGAATTCACCCTTTTAATGTTGCACCTTGTCGACACTTCCTACATTTTTTAACAATATATAATGTTATAGTTCTTATATATTTTGTATCAACGTATTTACAAGTTTAATGAATACCTTCTTTTCATGTGCTTTCCTCCATTCTTTGTATTCTTCACTATCCATCTTTGACTGTGCGATGTAAGGTTCCTTCTCAGCATCAGTCTTCGAATTCCATTTCTCCAACATATCATTTCTCACCTAATATTAAGCATAAACGTTTTTTAATCAATACATTAACGCTAAATAATACTCAATGTCAATTTCAATTTACATACCGAACCGATGTGTTCGCAACCTTCCTTCATCCTTTTGAATTCGGTCATACTGTCAACATTTAAAATTTGTCATCAATTTAAAGTTCTTAAATACTTTAATCCAATTACCATTTCAACAATAATAACAAAAAGACATTGATACTTACTAGAAGTACATATATCCACCCTTTGGTTGCTTTCGAGTCTCTGCCTCAATTTCAAAGTCATCTGCGCCACCAATAATATTTACACCCATTGACTCCATTTTTTCTTCATATATCAGTTTACACAAATCAAATCAAATACTTGTTACATACACTTTATTCAATATACAAATATAGATAACTACTCTTGTGGTAAAATGGTTTTCTTCAAAAGAATTTGAATGGCCACTACAAAATGTGTTGGCACATTTATACAACCTAAAATATCATTTTCTACCTATAATATTATATAAAGGTATCCATATTTATTTTCTACCTATAATATTATATAATCGGTCCCATATCCTTCTTGGCTTCAATTCAAAATCCCCAAACCAAACCCAAAAACCCTAATCCTTATTTCCTTCAAACGAATTGGAACACTCAATACTCGAAGTATCGACACATTTATACAACCTATAATATCATTTTCTGCTTATAATATTTAATAAAAGTATCAATGTTTATATTTTACCTAGAATATCACTTTCTACCTGTAATCGGTCCCAAATGCTTCTTTACTCCAAAACCACAAACAACACATAAAAACCCTATTTCAATTACTGTAATAATAAAAAACTAGGGTTTCGACAACGTACTTTTCAATTCGACTGCAGCAACAAACAAACAAACTTCGCTTTAGAAACGCCTTCTGAAATGCAGCAACAATTACGCTTCGATTTCAAAAATTTGTCCGTTCTATCTATTTTTCAGAGGATATTTAACTATGTCCTTTATATTTTCATTGGATATGTTATTTCTATTTAATCGATACAACTACAAAAGTGTCGATACTTTAATGTCATGTGTCGATACTTTCGATAGTATAATTACATATTTCTTTGAAAGTATCGATAATTTATTACGCGTACTTATTAAAGTATCGACACTTTCAATATATCTGGTAGCTCTTTACCAGTTTTGTCTTTTTGAGACCGGTTTTATCATATTTTTACCTGTTATATCGTTGTGGATCGATACATATTTATAAAGAATTGACACTTTATAGGCGTTAAAACTGCTTCTCCTTTAAATTCACAATGTGTCGATACTTATATTAAATTATTGACACTTTCAATATATCCGGTAGCGCTTTACCGGTTTTGTCTTTTCGAGACCGGTTTTGTCATATTTTTACCTGTTATATCGTTGTGGATCGATACATATTTATAAAGAATTGACACTTTATAGGCGCTAAAATTGCTTCTCCTTTAAATTCACAAAGTGTCGATACTTATATAAAGTATCGACACTTTCAATATATCTGGTAGCGCTTTACCGGTTTTGTCTTTTCGTGACCGGTTTTGTCATATTTTTTCCTGTTATATTGATGTGGATCGATACATTTTTATAAAGTATCGACATAAACCGACAAGCTAAGTTTGTCGGTTGCCAAATTTTTTAATATTTCTTCATGATTTAGACCTAATACATTATTATTACTCAACATTTCCGGTAGCGCTAAACGAATTTGTTAAATATCTTTTAATGTATCCGGTAACGCCGTATATTAGCCCACCTTTCTTGAGACATGCCCTATATGTAACAAGGGGTGTTGGATACTAAAATGCCGACTCGTGTTTCGGCCCGTTAAGGTCATGTATCATTATTTTCGTGTAATGGGTATCCGATTTATATTTTTTATTTTTTCTGATAAATTATATTGTTTAAAAAAATTCACATAGAAAGAATATATAAAAATTTAAAATTTAAAATCTATAATAAAAAATAATTAAGAAATAAAATTTAAAAATTCAAATCACATACTAGAAAGAAAAATTATTAAAAATAAAATAAATAAATATAATTAAATTTAAAATATTTTGAAGTTAAAATAAAAAATTTAAAAAATATTTTAGAATGTTATGGTGAAATAATTTTAAAAAATTAAGAATTTAGAATGTTATGGTGAAATAATTTAAGAAATTAGTAATTTAAAATAGTAGAGTGAAATAATTTGAGAAGTAAGAATACAAAATTTAATAGAAAATAAAAAATTTAATAGAAAATAAAAAATACATAAGAAACTAGATATCGGGTCGGCGATTATCCTTTTAAACACTATTTTATGACCCACACCTAATTCGGGAAATCAATAAAAATAATACGCCGTGTATCAGACGCAAAAATTTGAATAATTTCACTATAAATATCCGATAATTTTAGACAAAATTGATAAGTCGGCGGATCAAATCATCCGCATGGAGTGTTTTTAAACACGCTTATATATATTTCCTTTCTATCTTTGCGGCCATTTATATTACTTAATAATTAAACATTTTATAGGCTGCCATTTTAAGCTGTTACAGTCTTGCCACGTTAATTACTCTATCTTCCAGGTGGTCATTTGCATATCAATGCAATTTTACACGCATTGTCGTAAGTAAACTCCATTGTTTATTAATTGTCCATTTTCTCTGATTGCCTAGTGGGTAATTCATAAATCACACATAGCTTGCTAACATATATATATATATATATATAATCAGGTTTTTAGTTATAACAACAATTAGGTACGTACATCGGTATATAAACATGTTTATGAATAATAAATAAATAAACATGAACATATTTAAAAATAAATAAATAATTATGAATAAAATATTAAAAGTTTAAACGAATGCGAACCGAAAATGAACACCTTCAAAAATAGACAAATGACTTGGATGAAATGCATAAAGGATCTTGGTGATAATTTGATATGATTTTCACCTTCCTTATTTTGGCTTTAAACTAAAATTTGAGTGTAATTATTCTTTTGGATAACTTTCGGTTTTCAGTAGATGTTGTGAATCGTGATAATATTATCATTGTTTATTTGGTCTATTTTCTTTCTTGAAAAGATATTGAAAATTAAATTTAAACAACGCATATTTATTTTGAATTGAGATAGACAACGCGTATAAGAATTTGTCTCTAATCGCATTTAATACTATTTTGCTTTTTCTGTTGGAGCAGTGTCGGTATTTTTATTTCTGTTTTTGTAAGGACTTGTATCTTGATTTCTGAAGCCAACTTTGGCTTTAGTTTCTTTTAGCTCTCGTTTATCGTTTGGAGGGAGGGTTCTTTTCCCCTCTATTCATTCTCTACCTTTAACTCGCTAAAGTGTGTTGATCTTAAATATGGGGCAGGTTGCTCAAGAGATAGGATCAGAAGCCAAATTTCAGAAGGACTTTCTAGATCAGCTGGTATGTTATAGTTGCATTTACTCTTTACATTTTTTGTTGGTTTCTTGCATGCTATGAATTATTTCTATGATGTTTTGTTGCTTGAAAATGAGGAATGATCACCTTAGTTTATCATACATTTTATGGGTTTTATTATAATATTGCTACATGGTCTTGTATAGCAAAGTGAAATCGAGGGGAATAAAATTTTGAACTCTTTGAACCATGCAAGTCTTGGAAAATAACCTGAAGAAGTGGGAAATTATTCTTCTCGGGATATCTGCCCTTGACATAGTATTTATTGTGATTTCTATATTGTGTAAATGACAATGATAGGATCTTTATATTCACCTAAACTTATCAGGAATAGTTTTTCCTTCGGAGTTTATGTGGGTAGGAGATATCCTTTTCATCTCTTCAGTTCATAATGTTGTATTATTTAAGTATTTTTTTATTAGAATAGCTGAACGAACATAATGCATTCTGCTGTTATGGGATTCACCCGATCATTATTTTCTTCCATCTCTGATTCTTTTGGTAGACAAGGAGGCAGGGTTCTGTTAGCCATTGAGTTGTTATTGCTAAGCCTCAAGGATAATCAGGAAGCCTTTCTTGTGGATTAACCCTATCTTGATCTGAACTGTTGTTATCTACAGTGATATCTTCTTATCATCCTTGCTTTGTTAAGTACATGTGTACACATGCATGCATGCAAAATAAATTCTATCAGTTTGTCTTAAATGGTGATTTTCTGTTGAGGATAACATGGAATTACTTGGTCCTTTGGCTGCCATTTGTATTTGGGGGCTTCCTGAATGTGTAATCTGAATTTATGGCAGCAAATGACAATGATTAAAGCTCAAGCAGGGGTAAAGAACAACATTAGGAAACTGAAGAAGAGTATAATCAAGCATGGCTCTAACCATATTGTTCATGTGGTTCTTTTTGCACTGTTTTGCTTCTTTGTTGTCCATATGTGGTCCAAAGACTGCTGAATAGGTGTATATGTCGACGATGGAAAAAGTCTCGAAATGTCAATGTTGCTCAGTTTCTGTAAAGGTGCTTGTGTATTTACTTTATGTTTTGTCAGTAGTCTTGATAAAAACATCAATGATTATAGGTTTCTTCTGATATGCTGTGGTAAGAACGCTAGCGAATGATTTGTATATTCTTGCGCATTCGTTTATTCGTGCCGGGTATTTTGTGCAACGCTTGGAAGAAAGTGTTTAAATTAATTGTATCCTTCTCTAGTTTTATGCTTTATGTCCTCATGGTCTGAGCCTGTAAATTTAAACATAAATTTCTAAACTACTGTTATTTATTATTCAACATCTAAGCTTTAAGAACAGTAATTTAAATCAAAGTACACCAATCAATGTACAACTATGAATATTCCATTATCAAACAGCTTACTTGTGTGAATAATGAAGGGAACTTCCATTTTCAATAATACCTGTACAACTTGGGAGAAAAAAGTGATTCAGAAAGGAACTATTTACATCAATTCTACATGCGAATTCTTACCAGGCTACTACAATTACTTGGTTAATACCATTGCTTAAGAATCCAAATAGCTATCGCTAGGAGATGACAGCATTATCAGTAGGATTGATGTTTCCATCAATGATCGTCATTTTGGTCATTGAAAATTGCAACCAGGGTGGTTAATTCTAAATCCCCAGCTCAAAACACTGAGAAGATATAATAATGTATGTTAGTCGTGTCAGCAAGACCAAAAGGCTCGACAGAGGTGGTTAGCAGTCAAGTTAGATGAACACTGCTGCTCTATAGGTTGCGAGGGACTACAAATTCGGCTCCTCTTTGGTTCTGAAATCCTCACACGTGAAATCGTGGCAGCAAGCGCGTCCACCATACCATTTTCATCTTGTTCCTCAGACTTGCAGCTTGAACTGTTTGAGGATAAGACCGACCACAGACGTTGAGTATGAGGGTGACCATCTATCCTCAACGCACACTCGGATCTGGGAGAATTGGATTTTTGGACAGATAGTTCTATTGAGTTCTTCGACTTCGATTTCATGTATAAAGTCCTTAATGAGTGCTCTGTGTAGAACAATATCCATGTATGCCCTGACATTTCTCAATTCATAACAGTCAGAAAGAGAAACGTAAAAGCTAAGCCATTTCAAGAACTGATTTGAAATTCGAACATAAAATTTATAACTAAATTGTTGGGGGGGGGGGTAAAGAATAAACAAGATTCAGAAGCAATTCTAAGAAAGCAAAAACTCAATTTGATAAAAGTAGATGAACGGACTACGTTTATGATGGCTCACAAACTTTATATGTATATTGTATGTATAGATATTCATTTAACTGTAGAATAAAGGGAGAGACTTGGGACTGTACCTAGAATTTCATCAGCAGGTATTCTTGATGAGACATCCCTAGTCAGCATTCTTGACAGCAGATCGCGTGCAGGTTTAGATACAGACTCCCATATCCCCGAGTGAAAATCCAATTTTACATTCTTGATGGCCTCAAATACTTCCTTCAAGGAATCTCCTTGAAATGGAAGGCCGCCAACCAAAAGTGCATGTAGCAGCACACCAGCAATCCATATATCAACTTTCTCAGAATAATCTCCCAACAGTACTTCAGGAGCAACATAAGCCGGACTTCCAGCCAAACCGGACAAAGTCTGACCTGTAGTAAATCGTAATTTGTGTCACAAAAATTAGGAACAAGCTAAGAACAAATATAAACATATTTGGATATAGAAAGGATAATGTGTAAAAGGCAGATAACAACTCAAGTTCTCTTCACATATATGTGAATGCAAACATATAAACATTAGGAACATGCAAACATTATGATTTTTCCATATTTGATAAACATACAAACATAAGGAACTTAAATATGCCAATCTCACAATTATGATGTTTTCATATTTGATAAACATTAGGAGCATACAAACATAACTCCACCTCTCCAAACATTTTCATATTGAGTTTCAATATAATGAACAAAGTGAGAATTCATAAGATATTCACCGTTGGAGATTCTCATGGCAAGACCAAAATCAGCTAGCTTTATCTTTCCTGAAGTTGTGAGGAGAATATTTTCAGGCTTTAAATCTCTATGCACAACTCCCATCTCATGACAGTACTTAATGATTAACATCACATCTTTAAAAATATTAGCAGCACGGTGCTCTGAATACTGTCCCTCTGCCATTTGGTCGATCAATCGACCTCCAGAGCACAACTCCATTATGAGATGAAAACAATCTGGCTCCTCATACACCGCCTGCAAAGTCACAACCCCGGGATGTCCAGATAAATGCTGCATTATCTCTACTTCTCTGTGAACTGTTTCCTCTCCCTTATGCAAGGTTTTACATGCAAACTCTGCTCCACTAGTCCTAGACCTACACAACCAAACTAATCCGAATTTTCCCTGGCCGATCGGGTTACCTTTAACATAATCATCCTCAACCTTTTTCTTCCAACCGATTTGTGTAATTACCTCAAATGCACCCTATCTTCCTCTTAAGACCTCTTCCCGGAGGTACCAAAGAGGACGCACCACAAGGTGGGGCAGTGGCAACGCCAGCAAGTCTACTTTTACATGAACCAATGGAATGTATATCCACGTCTTCTTTACACCTTTTTTGAATCCTCGCATAATCTTCTAAGGAATAATGGGACATAATATTAGATGATCGGGAGTCACAAGAGGGTGCAAAATTCTTGGTTGCCTCCGGAGATACACTGCTTTCACTTCCCTTCCTCTTCTTTCTCATCAAGTCAATTGTCAATCTAAACAAACTTATCTAAACCTAGATCTTAGGCACATTGATGTTTCAGGAAAAAAAAACGAAAACAAGAAATTTTATTCCCAGGATCTTCTGCTTTCCTTTCCTGTAAATCAAGAATGAAAACAAATTATTATAAAAATAATATACTATATATTTATAATTTTTTTAACTAATCCATAAAAAAATGTCACTCAATTTAGCGAAGGAATTAGGAATCTGAAACATTTAATTAAAACGAAAAATGCATTAAACAAAAGAAGATCAAGATACCAAACAGATCCCATTTGCTTTTTTAGTGGAATCACATGGGGACCAGATATAACCTAATACCAAAATCCTACTATTTCTCCCATCATTCAAAATATTTCAACACAATCATAAAAAAACCCAGAAAATTAAGAGAACGAACCTGTAACCAAGGGCAGAAATTCCACCGACACCAAGAAAAGGGAGACCCTGGTTGAAAAATGGTAAAGAAAGGAAGGAAGGAGTGAAATTAGATAAGGTATATAATTGGGAAAATCCCGGGAGGGAAATTCGGAGGATCAAATCGGAAAACCTAGAAATGCCCGTGCCATGAGATTTGGGGGTCACCTCGTTTTATCTTATATATATTAGACTCGTCTAATAAATTATTAGATAAACTACGCCGTAAACAAACAGAACGTTTAGCAAATCGTTAGTAAACCATTCGGTAAAAAGTTCGTTTATATTTATTTATTTGTTAAACGAATGAATATATATAAGATTTTGTGTTTGTTTAATTAAATAAACGAACACGAACAGATGGTTCGTTCGTTCATTTACGTTCGTGAATATTCGATAATATGTTCGTTCGTTTATGTGCGTTCATTTATGATTAGTCAATCTCTTTAGACCCATTTAAAATATTAAAACTCAATAAATTTTAATTAATACCCATAATATTTTAAAATTCAATTAATTTTAAATATAACTAAAAAACCCCAAAACAATTAAATATAATATAATCCTAAAATTGTTAGGAAAATTTTATTTTCATTTATGTTCGTTTACGTTCGTTTATGTTCGTTTACATGTGCTTATTTATGTTCGCTCATTTTTTTTCGTTTATCATTTAAATGAATGAACACGAATAAGATACACTCCTTAACGAACGAACACGAGCAATAATTTTTTTTCTCATTTATGTTCATGTTCGTTCGGTTAAACTTAAACAAATGAGCATGAACATACCCTGTTCGTGTTCGCTCGGTTCGTTTACAAGCTTAAGATAAACTATAAAATTAGTATTTAAATTATTAGTTTTGTTTCGTTTTAATACCTAAATGTTTTTTTAAATCATACTTAATATTTAGTTTAGGTTTCAATTTGATATCATTCGTTAAGAAATTAACAAAACTATTAACTTCATTTTTTTTATTCTTTTAATGATAACGTGAAATTATCTTATGGTTGAAATTTGATATCATCGGCGAGTACCAAAATAAAACTAAACTAAAGTATGTAATTGAAAAATAATTAATTTGGGTTCCAAAAAGAACGAAAATAATAGTTTATACACTAAATGTATAATTTACCCTGAATTATTTATTAATTAATAACCTCAACCTGACCTGCCTTTTCAACATTGAGGAGAGTGCCTATTTCTTAAAGGCTCGGGTTTTCTGGTGGAGCACGTGACGTAATGTGTTGAAAGCACGCGCGGGGCTCGGATGTGGACGTAGATTATTTGGTTCCTCCTCTCAGCATGCCTTCTTCTACGGATTGTATTCGCTATACACCCATCAATTGTTGCTGGAATGAATCGGCTCGTTTTATTTTGGATAATATTTTTTTAATAATTGAATTCAAGTTATTATAAATTTAAAATTATTTTTTTCTTAATTTTAAACATCTCATTTTTTATTAAAAAATATCAATCTCAATTTTAATTTTTTTCTTTTTGAACTAATTTGATTTAACATATTAATTCTCTAATAAGTATAAGAAATCTAATTAACTTAAATTTTAATTTTAACTTTATCAGATGAATCTTCAAGTTTGTGTTAAAATTCATAAATTTTAATTGGAACCGTAATAATATACAATTATTGTTGTAACCGTAATTTATTGGAACCGTAAACAAGAAATTATAAAAATTTAAGGGAAAATATTGAATTATAAATAAATTTTTATTAAGGTATAATTAGTTAGATAACCAAAATAAAATAAAAATGACAATTGATTTACTGACATGTTTATCCGTTTTAATTATGTGTAATTATATGCATAAAATTTTGATTTAGATTTAAATTTTACAAGTTATTATTTTACGTTTTACATATTATATATACAAGTAATTATATTTATTTAATATGCATTAAATAGATATAATTTTTGAAAATTTATAATCATATCAACATTTTATGTACAATTGAATCAAAATTAAAGTTTTATACATATAACCATATAAAA